ATTTGCATAGTAAAAAGCTTACCTTATGCATGCGGGATTATCTGCTAAAGTATCTGTTGGCGCTCTCTTAAAGATTGTGTATTAAATTGAAATTTGTGATAAATAAGACATTTTAGAGGGTTTTAAGTGTAGCCAGAGGGTGTTCTGAATTATTTATCATTTTTTTAATCTTGGGCCTTTGTTTTGCTGCTGAGAAATCTTTTTGTGCGTCACAAAACGATCGCCGGCCGGAATGTTTATTGGTTTATAATTATCCCAGCTATTGTGTTTTTAAGGGTAGTCATGTGCCCTTTAGTCGAATTTTGAGCGATCTTTTTACTTCATTACAACCTTTGCAATTTAGTTTGTATATTCCCGATGTCATTTATTTTGGTTTTTAACAGCCTTTTTTTAAAGCTTACGGAAAAGAAAGAATGAAAGTTTACAGCCAAAGAAAGGGTCGTACGGTTTTTAGGACATTGTTCCCCCTTCTGTGAAATGTGGAAGTATTTGATGTTTTTAGAGTTTGTGTCAATGTCTCCCCATCCAAGAAATGGAGAAATTTCTGGAATGGTGCCCTGAATCGTTAACGTTTTCCTTCCACAAATTTGTTTAAAGTAGGTAAACTCGGAATTTTACAGTCGTGTAATGACGTCATTTTCGTGGGAAAAAACGTATGTCCTATTAAATTTATTTGTTGCTAAGTAACTGACTACTGGTGTCTAATTACCTGCATGACTTTTACTATACAGTGGTGTACATAATATTTTAGCATTTTTTGATAATAATTAAGTCAATTTCCACAAGAAATCTATAGGTCTTAATAAAAGAAGAAGTCCTAATTAACTGACTGACCGACTGAGATATCAACGCACAGCCTAAACGACTGAAGGTATCGAAAATAAATTTTTAACAGTTAAAAAATGCGAATAGTTCATATTTTTTGCGAGCGAAACCGCGATGGATAAAATGTTAGTATTTCAAAAAAGGTCATTTACTCACTAATTATTTTAATAACTTGCTCAACTAACATATAAGTAATATTAACATATTTTTGTTTTTAAATAAATAAAGATTAACAAAACGAAAATCACAGAATATTATTTAGGAATCAATACTCCCGAAAAGACCCAAAACATAATTAGCAGAGGAGTACATAAAAATTCAAAGAACCACTATCGAAACCACATCTACACAAGAAAAAATTGCACTACCTTGATGAATAGTTGGAAAATCAAAATCGTAAAACAAAAATATACCAATGCCAATTTATTGCGATTGTAATGGTCACAGTATTAGAAGAAAATTAGTCGCCCTCGTCCGTATCGTCAGAGTCAAAATCAAAGTATTCGTCGTCAGTAAGGTCGTCATCTGCGTCTGTAGTGATAACAAGAGGTGGGATGTCAGAAGCATCACAAACTTGTACTGCTCCCCAAGCCTCTTGTATTACTTTGTCCGTATGGTTTACGTATTTCTCCCAATTATCCCTAGAAATCTCCCCGATAACCCTTTCCCATGTTGCCAAAACCTCTTGTGGTGATCCCTTAAAATTTGCAATGTACTGATCGTATTTTCGTTTACACTGAGACCACACCATTTCAATCGCATTAAATTGGCAGTGGTATGGCGGTAACCGTAAAATTTTATGTCCTAAAGGCTTAACATATTCATCAAGGTAGTACTTTTTCTCTTTGGGGCAGTTTGCGCTGACAATGCTCCATATTTGATCCTTCATTGCCTTTTCTGGATAGCCGATATTTTTTTCCCCTAACCATTCTATCATTCTTTGTTTTGTCCATGATTTGGTGGGAATTTTCTCTAAAAGGCCAGAATGGTAGCTTGCGTTGTCCATAATAATTAAAGATTTTTCAGGAAGATTTGGCACCAGTTGAGTCTTGAACCAATTTTCAAAATTACCCCTGTTCATATTATCATGATAGTCCCCTGTTTTTTTTCCACTTTTAAAAATCAAACTTGCCCCACCAATAAAGCCATCGTTCGTCCCAGCGTGGACAATAATGTATCGATGACCTAAAGAATATCTCTTTTAATAATATTGAAAAGGTATTATAATATCTTATTTTACCTTCATTGGGTTTAATTGATTCCGTGTGCTTAGTATCATCTTGCCAGCTGTTTCGAAATGATCCCTTACTAAATATCCAGGTTTCATCCATAAAAACCGGAGTATAACCCTCATGTCCCAAATTTTTGTTTTCAATGTACTCCCTTAAGAATTTTATTCGTTTGTGGACAATATCCGGTAAATCCATAAGATATTTTCTGTTATTGGACTTCTTCCATTTAAAACCCATACTTTTGATCCACTTTCTCAATGAATCAATGGAAAATTGAAAATATTCGTTTTTCTCCAGAAATTTTTGTCTAATAGTTGCCAGTGTAACATATTCCTTTTGGGAGTACATATAATAGATTGTATCCCGAATTTTATTCTTCAAATATTCTGTGATTTTCGTCTTGTTAATCTTTTGCTTGGTAGAGACATTAGATGCGTAATCTTTGTCGGATTTTACACCATTTCTTCTCAAATTTGAAATGGTTGTTGGGCTGACTTTCGTTGCTTGTGCAGTTCGCTGTATAACATTGTTGATGTCTAGTGGTATGTCATTCCGAACTTGTTCCTGTTCAATTTGAAAGAAAGCCAACACATTTAGAATTATAACTGTGTTTGTTCGTTAAATCGATGAGGGTTTTTTGGCGGCATGTTTTGACGCTTTGGCGTTTTCAAAACTTCAAAACTGACAATCACTTGACAAGCATTTCAGGTAAAATTTAGCCACGACAACAACATTTCGGCAAAATTTTTTGTTTTGTCATTTTACATTAGTTAAACAAGGATAGACAAAAATGACGCCATTACAAGACTGTAAAATTCCGAGTATACTAGACAAAATGTAGAAGGATAAATTTACACTGACATAGAGCTCACTTCAATATCTCCTCTACGAATTGTTTAATTCTTCAAATTGTCTTAGATTTGTGGACATAAAAACTGCTTTTACAAGGGGATTCATGTCGCCCGCAGACCGGCATCTCCGATACACACACATACTAAATTACGGTCTCTAGTCCCAGTCGTTAGGCAATTTTATGACTTTGGAGGACTGATGGGCTATTGAGTCATGGGACAGTTTACACGAGGATACTTTTTAATTAGCACTCGCCGAAAAAGTACCTCACTGCGCAAGAGCAGTTTATGATGCTTTAAGTGTGTGATGTGTATATTGACCGACAGACTGTATCTCGCATACAATATTCCCGTGTAAAAGAGTTTTAACGGTGTGTCCTCGTCTTGTTGTGTAGTTTTACCAAACTGTGCTTAATTTGCAGAGTTGCAAAAGTAACTTAACACGACCGATTTCCGGCGTGTAATTTAAAACCAACGCCAGACAAGGAGGCGCCAAACACTGGAACAAACAATCCATTGACAAACGTGGGAGAAGATTTCGAAAGCTCACTGCTCTTACAATCGGCAAAAGAAAAACTTGAACTTATTATGTGTCATATTTGTTTGGTGAAATGTTCTTGAAACCTTGTCTCTTTTTCAACTTAGACAAATTTCTTCCGCACAATTCAAAGGAAAAAATCGCAAAAAATTTAGCACAACGTTCTCGTTCGCTCTTTATTCAAACATTCTTCTATGGCTCCTGCACAATCTGTTGATGAAACCAAGCAGTTTGCCTTTGAGAGGCTATGCAGAAAGCTTGAGGAAGATCCACACGGTCAATTTTCAGTATCGGAATTAACGACGCGGCTAAATGAATTAGCAGGTGATGCGGACTGTTACAGTTCACTTTATTTCAAAGAGAACTGGAAATATGGAGACCATGGTATTTTCACGGCTTTTAAGGGCTTTTAAGAATAGTGGGTTTTGCTAGAGTGGTACAGCAAAAAAATTTGAGTCTTGGTATGTATCTAGGAGGCCAAGACAAGGTACGTTTGGAAATAAAAATACATAATCATAAAGTGAAACAAATCATTGTGCATTCTAATGACATCTGGTATTCTTATTAAAAGTGGGACGCGGGGCACAATATAAACCGAAGTTCAGAACAGAATATCATATTGTTCCCATGGAAACGACGGAAGAACCTAATTTGTTATTTTTAACGTCTAAATTAAATACCTACAAAATTGACAGAAGTTTTATAATAATTTCTGTGGCTTCTGCTATAAAATAAAGTTTTGTATTATACACGACGATAAATTGAAACTAACTATCTTGTGAAAGTTAATTCACTCGATGGTTAAAACATCCCTTTATCGCCTTGTATAATAAATAGCTATTATTCAATGTAATTGAAGTGAGTAGCATTCTAACAATCTAACATAATTGATTTTTACCACATTTGTCTAATACCATACGTTCAATAACATTTATTTGGATGGCAATGGGTCCCAAACATTCATTTAGTCGGCTTCTCAGTATCAACTTAGAAAAATTAATTCCTTATAATACGCTCACCCACGTAATTAATATCTTTGCTCGCTTGAGGCGACATTAAGTTGATTGCCTCTTACAAATTGGTAATTAATTATTGAACTGGTGCCGTTTTTTGGCATCCTGGTCCAAAAAAGTCGGGTGGCGTTTTTTCCCCCCCGTAAAACAATTAGCGATCTATATTTTACTGTCGCGAATCCCACACAAACCGTCCCACTTTACCAAATATGGGGCGACCGTAGAGATACTTAACCATATTTGTCAATCCTGGCAGATCCTTGTCAGGTGAAAAACAAACGGCCCGCCGGCGGACCTACGAATCTTGACTTCGTCCAAGTAGCGACCTGCATAATTAAAATTAATTCCGAGGCGTTGGCGGGTTCTAGGAATGATGGGGGAAAAAAGCGCGCGTGCCGCGTAACATGTGCCTTTTAACACAATAAATGGCGACCGTGCAAAAAAAAAGAGCTGCGTGCCCAACGACCTCTAGAATGATTACTTAAGCGCTTGACTCATTCGCGGCCTTGGCGTTTTTATCTAAATCCCTGCTTTTTTCCAGGTTGCAATTGTAATCTGAGAGGCTCGGAATTATCGACGTGTGACATTACGACGGGTCAATGCCGCTGCAAACAGCACTACGTTGGAAGAACTTGTGACAGGTGTCAGGTACGTAAATAGTCATTATTATGAGTTATATAAAACGCTCGAGTTCCTTTATGTGTAGCGAGCGACTATTATTACCTTACCTACTGTCGAGTGAGTAATTCGTATGGAATCTCGTTTTCATTACCATTTCTGATCTAACTTATTCATTCAAGATAATGTGATGGTCGACTATCAATCATAGAGTGTGCTGCTTATGCTTATTTCATACTTTGCAAAAAATGGACCTGGTAACTTTGAAGAAGGTACTGCTGGAATAGATCTGAAAGCCTTACTGAATTACTATGATATCCCTAAGGCCCTAAGGTAACTTCAAGTGCCCATCTGGGAAGATGGAAGCACTCCTTTCGCAACATCAATTTTTTGATTCCTTCTTTCTTCTTCTGCAACTCTTACTGGGGCACATCACAAGATGCAGTGATAAAGTCCTGACATAATGGAGAAAACACTGTATTATGCCCTCACGGGACACTGATGATTTATTTTTGCGGGCCGAGTGGGCATTGTGACTGGCTAAGTGAGCAATGCAATCCAGTAGAGAGTAGGGTCTGAAATTAAAAGCTGGACTACAAGCATAGGTGACGAAAATACGAATGAAATTTTAATCTGTAAGTTTGAACCCTGGAATTTAATATTTTAACCACGTTATTAGCTGGGCAACGTAAGAGCTTCAAATTTAAACTTGAATCCAGATTCTCAAAGTTGGAAACTTTAGGCTTTAAATTTGAATCATCCGACTATGAGAATAAATCTGAAAACCGAATTTGCCGATTATACTTCAAACTTCAAGTTTAAATGGCCGCTTAAGAATGGAACCCTAAACATGGCGCCCGAGCTTGAAGTATATAGATTGAATCACTAGTAGATTCTAATGCAGAAACCTTGACGCTGGATTTGGCATCCCCAAAACTTGCCCCTACATTCTACAAGCTTCAAATTTGATTCCACTAAGATAAAACTGGAAAATGGAAGCCTTGAATCACGACCCTATGAATAAATCTGAAAACCTTTCTGATTGTAAGGAGGATCTGGCGAACTCTCCATAGGCAGTGCCATAACTATCAGATTATTGTTACTCTACCCCAGTCACTTGTTTCACATATCAATCTAACAAAGAAAATCTATTAGTAATAAATAACGATGTTATTTTCACAGGACGGCTACTGGGAACACATAGCAGGATGTACAAAGTGCGAATGCGACATCGACGGCTCCTACGGCAGCGCGTGCAACGAAAGAACCGGCCAATGTAACTGCAAGCCCGGAATAGGCGGTACTCAGTGTAACAATTGCCTGCCGAATTACTTCGGATTTTCGTCGTCCGGTTGTAAAGGTACCTACCCATCGACTTTCCATCCGAGACCAGTAATAAATCTTTTGCAGAATGTGAACCTTGCAATAAACGAGGACATATCTGCGATCCTGATACCGGTAGATGCATTTGTCCCGCGTACAGCTATGGGGAGTACTGTCAACTGTGCACAATCAACGCTTGGGGTTACGAGCCGAACAAGGGATGCAAGGTGGGTGGGGGGTTTTTGGTAATTCGGTTGAAGCTGTGTTCGGGTTTTAGGCGTGTAACTGTTCCAATTCTGGCAGTCTTCGGATGCAGTGTGATCTTGCCACTGGAGAGTGCAGCTGTCGCCTTGGTTTCGCCGGGTTTAATTGTGATCGTTGCGACCATGGGTACTTTGGGTACCCGAGGTGTCGGAGGTGCAACTGTAATTACTCGGGCAGTGACTTGGTTAAAGCAAGGTGTGATAAGGAAGGCGTCTGCCAATGTAACGAGGATGGAAGTTGTCTTTGTAAGGTAGGTGACTGCAACTGTTACTGATTTCCGTTACTTATGGTTTATTGTTACAGCCTAATGTTGGAGGAAAACGATGTGACCAATGCAAGGAAGGCACTTTTGGTTTACAATTGGACAACCCTGATGGATGTACTCAGTGCTTTTGTTTCGGTAGGTCATCGAAGTGCAGCGAGTCGGGATTGACATGGGGCCAAATTCGCATGCACACCCCTCGATGGTTAACAACCACCGTGAAAAAGTCAGACTTGGCACGCGACATTGAGACTTCAGACAAGCTCTTGGTGGCACCAGACGAGAATGGCAATGTCACTATAAATCGCTACCAATTTGAGTCGCCGCTTTACTGGAGGCTGCATTCGAAGTTCGACGGTGATCGCATATTGTCTTATGGAGGCTACTTACGTTTTGTAGCCGATACTCTTAACCCAAGACAGCGGTTACCACAAGACGTGCTCAACCACTACCCCCTAGTGCAACTGCGAGGCCATGGAAAAATTGTCCTAGAATACTATCCCCCACTACCCATAAAGGGTAACCGCTACGAAGTACGTCTACACGAATCACTTTGGAAACGCATCTATCCCAAAGAAACCCACCTAACTCCTCGCGAGCTGCTAATGGTCGCTTTGCAAAATATTCAAAATATTTTCGTCAAAGCAACCGACTCTGCCAGTTTTGAAAAATTACTGTAAGACTATCTTGAGGGAAAATGTTAGTGTAACGACTCGGTTTCAGTCTCCAAGATGTCATTCTGGATACCGCCATCGAAGTACCTGGTAACCCACCACCGCTAGCAAAGGGCGTCGAAATATGCGAGTGCCCTCGCCAGTACAACTCGTCCTCGTGTCAAGATCCCAGCATTGGTTTCTTTCGCCATTACACTCCTTCCTCGGTCAATGGGACTATCCTCATTGACACCTTCGTGGGGCAGGCCCGCGCATGCACCTGTAACGATCGCTCGGACATTTGCGACACCGAAACCGGGTATTGCTTGGTAAGAAAAATTGTATCTCTTTGCAAAAGCTAAATGAACTTTTATTTATTTATTATCCGGTATTTATACCTTACGAATTAGGAAAACTGCAGGAAAACCTAATTCGGAGTAGCCAGTAGAATGCTCGAAACTGGTCTAAGATAATTCCCATCACTGCCACTAGGGAATGCAATACCGGGATCGCGGGATCCCGAAATACCGGGATCCTGTAGCTTTTTTGGAGCGGGATCCCGCGGGATTTACGGGACTGAGGAATTTGTCGACCAAGGGAACAACTCTGTTTCAACACTACGCACCCAAATTAATAAGAAAAAGTTTTTTCCCGAGAAATTTTGGTGCAGTCGATTTTTGGTAAAAAAGGAAGGTTGTACACTTCCTTTTTTTTGGCCCGAAGAAAAAATTGTCTCACATCGACCGGAAAAAAATATTTTCTTATAGAATGTGGCCTGTAGAATCCATAGTTTCAAACAGTTCCAAGATCGGACTACTAGATCAAAAGTTACAGCATTGATACAGCCCTTTGAATTTTCTGTCGAAATTAGTTTTTTGCCCATAACTTTTGATTGAGGCGTCTAATCGAAAAAGTACGAATCGTTTTGGATTCTACGCACCAAAATTAATTGGAAAAAGTTTTTTCCCGAGAAATTTTGGTGCAGTCGATTTTTGGTAAAAAAGGAAGGTTATACACTGCCTTTTTTTTGGTTCGAAGAAAAAAATTGTCTCAGATCGACCGGAAAAAAATATTTCCTTATAAAATGTGACCTGTAGAATCCACAATTTCAAACAGTTCCAAGATCGGGCTACTAGATCAAAAGTTACAGCCCTTTGATTAATTTTTTGTCGAAATTCGTTTTTTGCCCATAACTTTTGATTGAGACGTCTAATCGAAAAAGTACGAACCGTTTTGGATTCTACGCACCAAAATTAATTGGAAAAAGTTTTTTCCCGAGAAATTTTGGTGCAGTCGATTTTTGGTGCAAAAGGAAGGTTATACACTGCCTTTTTCTTGGCTCGAAGAAAAAAATTATCTCAGATCGACCGGAAAAAAATATTTTCTTATAGAATGTGGCCTGTAGAATCCACAATTTCAAACAGTTCCAAGATCGGGCTACTAGATCAAAAGTTACAGCCCTTTGAATTGGACGACTCTGTTTGCTTTGTTAATGAAACGCATAACGGAGAAATTATTTTTAAAATAATTGTTAAACTTTTTTCGTTAAAAATGTACTATGATTTTTGAGGCACTTTAGAAGTTTACCTTTTTGTGCTTTATACAGGTAATTTTTTTGAGTTCTAAATTAGACTGAAGGTACTTTTTTGTTGAATACTTATTGTGGTAGTTAGCGATTTATTTTAATACAAAAGTTAACCGCACAAAATTGCTTATTTGCCAATTTATTTAAAATTTTGCGGGATCCCGCAAATACCGGGATTGAGATTTTGCTGCGGGATTGCATTCCCTAACTGCCACAGATGAAAAATTCACCTCAACCCAGGTTCGAACACCCGACCTCCGAATGTATAGCCCAACGCCCTACCACTGAAACATAAAGCCGGTTTGCACTCTCCTTGCGTTATGTATTCGATTGATAAGGAGAGGAGTGGTTGTTCATTAGGGGTTAAAACAAATCATAATCAAAAGATAAAGGGAACGGGTGGGGTAAAGCCCGATTCACATTACCGGTCACGTCACGGTCCGATCAAGGTGTGGTCAAATATTACAGCGCATTCACATTATCGGTCTGGTTATGGTCAGAATATGTTCATAAGGAATACGCGCTGCCCGTGACGTGACCGATAATGTGAATCGGGTTTTAGGGTTTGAACTACTGGGGGCGTCAATTATAATTAGGTTTTTTGAGTAACTTTTACTTTTAAAACGAGTGAATTTCGTATTCCAAATGGAATTACTACATGATAGAACTGAGGTATCTACCGATAGTTCACTAATAAGCCACCTTAGGGTTGCAGGGACAACACCCATGGTAGATACTGCGAGAAGTGCGCCGATGGTTATTACGGCAATCCGATGTTGCCCTTCGAGAAATGCCAGCCATGTCCGTGTCCTTCGCCCACTCAAAATTTCGCGAGCGAGTGTAGGCAGTTATCCAAGACAAACGAGTTTATTTGTAACTGTAAACAAGGTTCGTAACTGAGTTGTAATAAAACGCTTTGTTTGATGTTGCCTGTTTAGGTTACACTGGACACAAATGTGATAGCTGCAGTCCCGGATATTACGGACAGCCACAGCTGGCGGGTGGAAGCTGCCAGCCTTGCAATTGTAACGTGGAAGGAACATTGAGTCATGAGTGCGATATGGTTACCGGGGCATGCTTTTGTAAGCCAGGTATTTCCGGTCGTCACTGCTCACAGTGCGAGAAACCAAGGCATGTGCTCCAACAGTTCAAGTGCACCCGTAAGCTATCTGCCAAGTTAACTACGTTGATAATTTAAATTTTGTTTAGCTTGTGATAAGTGCACCCAGTGGCTTCTGGATGACATCGGCCAGTTATCTTACGATCTGGACCAGAACACCCACTTCTTACTGAATGGCTCAATTGAACCACCCTGGGGCACCTTACGTAACATCGAAAAGCGCTACGTATTTCTCAACGATAAACTCGCCACGTATCTAAATAACAAGCACTCTGCAGAAGAACTGATTGCAAACACCTCGATAGACGCTCTCAAAGTTCGCCTGAACAGCTTAGAGAACCGTTATAACAAACTCGGTCTTGATGACGTCACGCAGAAAGCTGCAGAGATTGACAAGATGGCAAAAGATCTAGATAGTGAGCTACGTGAGAGCAAACCGCAATTACAACAATTAATTGAAACGTTGCAGAACTTTGGCAAATCCCAAATAAGTACACAAGAAGCGGTAAAGGAAGGCGAAGCTTTACTGAGGGAAATTCAGGATATCGCCAAAACTATGAATTATCCTCACGGCGAAATTTTGTCCAAATGTGAACAGGTCAAGGCGGTTATTGAGAAACTGATGCAAACGACGCCCAATCCTCAAAGGGTGGCGGACGAGTTGTCCACGTTAAAAGAGCGTCTGAAGGACATCGATGTTATTATCACCAATATTGAACTAGTGCGGAAAGATGCCGAACTAAAAAATACCGGTAATAAGATACGCATTGATGGTGTAAAGCGGGCGATTGACGAAATCCAGAAGAAAACTAAGGAAATCAAGGAGGATGTTGACAACTCGAAGAATATGATAAAGAAGGCGATGGACGCCTTGGAAGGGATTCGCCTAATTTACAGCGAGCTGGGATCAGATGACAGCCTCAAAGACCTAGTGCAGCAGTTGCAAGTTAGGCACGCGAAGTTGAGCCGCATTAACCCCAATGGAATACTGGAGGCCGTATTGCAACACGTGGAGGGCTTAGAAAAGAAAGCGTCGGAATACGCAAAGTAATCCACGTGCAAGACCCGAACTCCCAACTAATCTATCTACCGTTTCAGATTATTCAATCTATCAAGCAAGGAGATAAACGCGGTAAAGGCCAGCGAGGCCTATGCAAACATTAAGAAGTACTTGGACGAAGCAAGCCGGTTGGCAAACGAGGCGCTTGCCAACATTAATACCGCCATGGATACGCTTTCGCCGGAGGGTAAAGATTCGATCTCGACTAACGCGTCGATTTCTATGGCAGACTCTGAACGGCTCGAAATACGGATACGGCACCAGATTGATAATCTGGCGGGTAACTTGATTTAACTTACATTTGGCAGCGGTTTACATGCAATTTTCCAGATATCAAACAAAGAAAGGACATTGTCGCGTTAAAGGTGAAAGCCGTCGATTCGAACAATTGGCGCAACGGCTTAACAAACCGGGACCAGGATAACAAACTGCACGAAATGAAGACTCAATTGAACAAGCGGAGCAAGGAGAAGATACAGGATTTACTGAACGAGGCGATCGATCAGACCGATAGAATGAAGGACGTACACAGACAAGCGATGAACATCGACGTGTCCAAGGACTACGAGCTCTTTAAACCTTACCAAAAGTTACTCAATCTAACCAGCTCGGACAGTGAGTGCTCGTAAAGAAGCCGCGGTTAGTCCTAACTCGTTTTTTAGATCTTCGCAAGTTGCAGGAGCAGATCACGGTTACGCAGGACGAACTGCGAAATATGCTCGGTGAAAAGCACACCTATCTCGATATCATCAAGCAGAATACAATTAAATTTAACGAGTTTCGTACGGCGAATAACTCGCTCGCTTTAAAGTTGCAAGCGCTCAAGGCACAAATAAAGAGTGCTAAGAAAACCGCGGAAGGGGTAAGTTTAGGTTGAAACATTTGCTGTTAGAGAGTTAAAATTTGACGCTTGGAACAGTTGGAACTTCATTTCCAAGGCTCCCAAATTCAACAGTTCTACTTCAAGATGAAGTAGGGCTTTAACATGTGGTAGGGGCGATGCTCAGGGCCTTTTAGAACGCCCGTTTAGTTACTGAGTAATTGTCACGCCCTAAAATGGCGTAATGGTTTTATATCGTTGCAATTTATATTGGTTAGTCATTTGCTTTGCACCATTACTAACGGCTTTTGAAGATGTGGCTGAATCTCAATTTTGCAGACCTAGCATTTGCCCGCAGCTTGATTCCCAATTAGCTGATTTACAAAAGTAACTAAAGAAGGCTAATTTACAGAGTGTAATTTAAAACCAGATCCAGACAATGAGGCGACTACTAACGATATTTAGCAAATAGCCCATTAACAAATGTGGGAAGATGACGAACGCCCATTTTTATTCCACTCATCAAAATAACACTTGAAGAATGACTCTTTTACAACTTAAAGGATTTCATAATTTATTCTCATGGCGCTTGATTTAAATTTTAAACCCTAAGCTTTTTCTAGGCGCAGACTTCTAGGCTTAAAGGTCTACAGTATCAGGGTACACTTGGATCTTAAGTTGGAGCTTAAGTCTTCCTAATTTAGTCTCGTGGCACAAAATGTTGAAATTTAAGGTTTAAGCTTGTCATGCTCCCATTTTCAAAGCTTTAAAATATCAGATATAAGTAGACCATCATGTGGTTCATACTTTAAATTCTAAGCTTTATCTTTTGGGTTAAAAATTGAGGTATGCATTACTCTTCCAAACTTATTAGTTCCTCTTTTAATCCCCTCCAGACGTTGTGCGGTGGCAATTTTCCTTTTTTTCTGCTCCTGTCCTTCCCATTCAACTTTACAATATTAGTCTACGCTCCCACATAAGGTCAACCTTCGTCCACCTGTTTACCAAGTGAAATACATTTTTTTTGCAATCTTAATATGTAAACAAAGACATTGGAAATGGATGCCTAAAGAAATTAAGTCAAGAGTACCCTTAATTTAAATTAATGTAATTAATATTTCTGTCTGCTTCAAGGCTTCCAAATTCAACAGTGAGCTCCAAGGCTGAAATGACGATTTAACTCTGGTAGCTGCGATGCTCAGATGTTTATTGAATTAATGTTTTAGATCGGAATCATTCCCCCTTTAGTTACTTATGGCCGTTTGCACCGAGAAATTTAAGTGGAGCTTAGCTTAAGCGTAGCTTAAAATCCATGACAACGATTATTGAGACAATGGTTGTCATGGATTTTAAGCTACGCTTAAGCGAAGCTCCACTTAAATTTGTCGGTGCAAACGACCATGAGTCATTGTCACACCCAAAAAATGTGGCAAGGCTAAATTTCTATTGGTTAGTCATTTGCTTTCCACCATTACTAACTGCAGGATCTGGCTAAATTCAATTTTGCAGAACTAGCATTTTCTCACACCTTGATTTCCACTTGGCTGATTTGCAAAACTAACTAAAGAAGGCTAATTTACAGAGTGTAATTTAAAACCCGATCCAGACAATGAAGCGACAACTAATGATTTGAACAAATAGCCCATTAACAAATGTAGGAAGAACGCTCATTTTTATTCCAATCATCAAAGTAAAACTTGAAGCCATGAACAAACTTTATTTGGGGGAATGCTTTCAAAGACTTTTTTACAACTTAAACATTTCTACATCCGTGCAAAATTCAAATAAAAATGTTCTCGTTACTCGTTACAAAGCTTCAAACTTTGAACTTCAAGGTTTTCACAATTTATTCTCATGACGCTTGATTTAAATTGTTAACCCCAATCATTTTCTAGGCGCCCATTTCCAAACTTAAAAGTCTACAGTATCAGGGTGCACTTGGATCTTAAGTTGAAGCTTAAATCTTCCTCACTTAGTTTCGTGGGACAAAATGTTGAAGTGATTTGAGTCTTAAGTTAAGGTTTCTCATGCTCCCACTTTCAAAGCGTTAAAATATTTGGTATCTCAATCAAGCCCATCATGTGGTTCATACTTTAAATTCTAAGTTTTATCCTTTGGCTTAAAAAGTAGGCATTAATCTTCCAAACTTATTCCTCTTCCTCTTTTAATCCCCTCCAGCCGTTGTTCGTTGGTAATTTTTCTTTTTTTTTTACTCTTGCCCTTCCCATCCAACTTTACAATATACAGGGTGCCCATTATGTATGGAATATAGTATATATCTCTGTAAATATTGAATGTATAAAAAATTTTTCCTTATGAAAGTTGTTTAAAATTTCATTTTCCATAATAAGGCAGCATTTAGTTGTTTTTATTTCAGAAAACAACGTTCATTTGTTTTATTTTGATATCTAAATTAATGTTATTTATGTGATTATGAGCTTTTTTGAAAAATTTTCTTATATTAGGGTACTAACATGTTACATTATCGAAAAGAGAACTTATATCAAATGAGCCTAATGAAAAGGTGCACTGCTATTTTAAAAAAATTCAATTGTTTTTCGTTATTCGTTTGTTTTCTGAAATAAAAACAATTGAATGCTGCCTTATTATGAAAAATAAAATGTTAACAACTTTGTGGCGCAGTTCAGTGGAAGCTAGACTGTGGTACTAAGGGTCCCTGGTTCGATTCCGGGTTCGGGCATGGATATTCAGTAAACGTATAGTGAGCTGGGTTGGTAGAGCAGCCTTGCCTGAAACCCCGCCCACTTCAAAATAAAGGCAAAAATAAAATAAATAAAATCAAATATGAGAGAGAAGGCATCTCCATGTGATAGAAGCAGACAAAAATATTAATTACATTAATTTAAATTAAGGGTACTTTTGACTTAATTTCTTCAGGCAACCCATTTCCAATATCTTTGTTTGCGTATTACCTAAGGGCTAAGATTGCTAAAAAATGTATTTCACTTGGTAAACAGATGAGTTGACGTTACTGTGGGATCTTGTACTAATACAGCAATCATATTAAGATCATTCTTGAGCAGTTTCCTCTTCAGATTTTTGAGCCTTTCCTCTTTAGCATTTTTCGAGCTTGTTTTCTTCCCAGACTGTTTCCCTCTGATATCCAAATGGGAAAATATACAGAAATATTTAGTATTAGAAGAATTCATGATTTATGGTGCCTTTCCCATCCCGATGCCGTACCTCTCGAGAGAGCTTTACTGCATATTTAAACATAATAATGATATCTTGGTGGTTCCGTTACAGTACCCCCCTAGTTTTTAATGTAACAAAATAGTGACTTGTTAATAGAACATTTATTCATTCATTTCAGATAAGGATTTCTTTAACTGGTGCAACTTGCGAGCGATCCTACAAAATTGACACACTATCTCCGACACTTGTGTCAAAACTCATAGTAAAATTCAACTACACTCTTAGCAGTGAACCAAGCACCAGCTCACTATTTTACCTTAACACCACCATTGGACAGTACATGAACCTAAAGATTAAAGACAATCATATTGTCTTTTCCATAAAATTGGGTAATGCAGTTATAGAGCATGACTACGTCATGCCACAAAGTGACTTTTACACGGTTGCCATTGAAAGGTATGTACCTCACCTTAATCCAGTCTAGGCACCAATAAATTTTCTTTAGAATCGCTAATTACGTAGAAATGACTGTCAATAATGAAGTGGTGGAGTCTAAGGATGTGATCAGTCCGAAGAGCGAGGTGACACTGTTCAAGACTTCTCCACAGAGCTTAATACACATTGGGTACGCTCTAGACGCCGAGCCAGGCATCACGGCTTGTATACGCGATGTGATCTACAACAATTACAAGATAGGCATGTGGAATTTCCACACCAGTGATGGGCAGTGCGCTGGGTGCATTAGGTAAGGTCAACAAGTGTAGGTCGACGTGTTACCATCAAAATCTTAGAAGCAACGAGCTCACGCTGGAAAGCACCTATGACTTCTACCAAGGTGACGGTTACTCCATGATATCTAAGGAGCAGCAGGACAAGTACGCAAATCCGGCCCAGTTTAACGTTCAATTTTCACTTAGAACTTTCGACGAGAATGCTCTACTCTTCCTAGCTGCTGATCCCGAACGCGTAAGTCACCAGTCGCACTAACCATCATCCCTCACGTGTAAACTGTTACAGAAAAACTACCTCGCGATCTTCTTAAATGACGGTCGCATACACTATCGCGTCCATTATCCCAACGAAGAGGATATAATCATGAAGACTGAGAAGAAGTACAACAACGGGGAAAAGGTGAGAATATCAGCGGAGAAAGTATGGGTCCGAACAGCGAAACAAGTTGACGCGGTCTTGCGCGTTAATGACGGCCTTGAGGTGTTCAACGATAGCCGAAGTAACATCGATAGTGGCACGAATATAAGGTTGAAGAAAATCCATTATTACTTCGGCGGCGTGCCGCCCGATTACTTTTTAAATTCGATGGGCGTCACTGATACGCTACCCACGCATCAGTCTCTGCTGGGCGGATTGGAAGAGGTGAGGGAGTATCAGCTTTTCAGTGACGACAACATTAGAAAATATAGCGTTACTAAGCAAAGTGGGGAGGTAATGTTACCGAAACCTGCTTCGTTACAATCTAAGTCTCTGTTCACAGTTGGAGTTTCGTAATGTTCTCTTCGAAGGTCTGGGCTACATACAGCTGAAGGCGAAACGAATGGAGGGGAGCTTGTTTTTGATGCTGCGCACCAAGAATCCGCATGGTTTTGTGTTGTTCATTGACGAAGTGCTCAGTATTAGTATGAGTGAGGGTAAGCTCGTCGTAAAGGTCTACGATAGGGATGAGACCTACACTTTGACATCAAAGCAAAGCGTTAACGACGAAGTGTATCACCTAGTCGAAGTCGTACGCTTAAATACAAACGTGGAATTGAAAGTGAACGGAGAAACAGACGACAGTATCCAAACCAAAGAAACCGGTACAAATAAGTTAAGTGCTGAAACTACCCTGTACCTTGGGGGCGTACCTGATACCTTTTCCAAACTGTTGGAAGGAAACAGCTTGCTTGTGGGCGAAATTAGTGATATATTGATAGATAATAAGTTAGTTAAAATTAATAAAAACACAGTGCAATACTTTGAGAAAGTTAAAATTGGGAGATCGATCACCGTGCAGCAACCAATGCAGGCGCCGAAGAATTTCCAAGAACCGGACGAGACCAAAACCGAAATGAAAGAGATGCAAAACACCGAAGGTTGCGGTGTCGCGCTCAACTACACGTTCGATCCGAACGCGGCGAAGTTCGGTGACAAACCGTTCAGTTACGTTTTGCACTACCTCAAAGACAACTTTTGGCGGAAGGACTACAAGCTGGGTATCTCATTTCGCACCTACCAACCGAACGGTGTCCTATTCACGGCATTTGTAAGACCCGAGCTTGTGCAAATTTAAGTTTGACAACTTTACAACATTGTAGGGACCGAGGCAGCACTACAACTTATTGGAGATACGAGGGGGAAGAATAGTGTTTAAAAGCAATGGAAAACGTTTGCGGAATGTGGAGTTGCCGCAGAAGGTCGATGACGGTAACTGGTACAGTGTGACGGTCGAGGCGAGTGGAGTTAAGAAGAAGCGTAAGTTGACGGTGTCGATTAATGGGTACAAGACGAAACCGTTGAGGCTTCCTCGTAATAAAATCAGTCGGGAGATATACATCGGAGGGATTTCCGAGAATATCACTTTGCCGGCAAGTATGGTAAGTGTGGATTTGCTAATTAAATTTAAAACGCCTACGCTAAATTTAGCCTTAAATACCACAAGTGTACTAAATTGCTTTCATTTCTATAAAGCATTGGGCAGGAAATCTTATACCTGTACCGCTTCATAATCAAAGAGAACAGAACTAATATTCGAGAAAATGAAGCGCGTTAAGATAAGAAGCGAGTGTTCAAGCAAATATGAGCCGAAACGTTACAGTGAGAGGGCGCAATCTCCGCTATACTTACCTATGTATAAAAACCAAGTGAACGCCTGTTTTTCGGTAGTTTCGTTTCAGCACTTCCAATGGACAAATAGAGTAGGAAAGCGACACTACGTTAATTGGGGCGCTAATTATCGCGTATAACATTGATTCGATTGATTGATTCGTGGTTGAACCTTGAAAGCGAAACAATACCAAGTAACGTGTGGTAATTTTAGATCGCGAAAGGTTACCTATGTTAAATTGGTAGTTAAACGAAATACGAAAGAATTATTAACCGCGATATTTTACGTGAAATGGTACTACGAAGTTACCGAATTATATTAGAGAAACTCTGTCGCCATTTCCACGAAATTATTGTCGTGGACAATTTTTAAGTTTGTTACTAGATACCGATACATGCAAAAGCCAATATAGATAAGTGTTGTTGAGCGAAAAAGGGGAACTTCATTGCGTGAAGGCGATAAACTTTATTTCTAACAGTAAATATTATGCGAAATGGTTTTAAAGCGAACAGTTTCATTCGTTGTATTGTCGGAGCTATGTTTTTCGCCTAAAAATTAATGAGTAATGGGTAAATGGGTCCAAATTACAGAATATTCAAGTTCAATTTACGTTATATGATGTTGCTTACGATTTCTCTTGCGAGTTGCCATGTTTTCGGGTCCCATCATACTTATTCGTAATTGTTGGTAGCAAATCGTATAACGTAAACAGAAAACCACCAAAACAAACCCTAACGAATGAATAATCGTACGGAAAATCATACGGGAAACCGTAAGCAAAATCACATAATGTAAACTGCACTTTATAGTGGCTCGTTACGATTAAGAAACTAGTTCATCAATCAAGTTCGTGCACCTAAGTTGTTTATAGGAAGTGCGAACAACATTATGAACACTATGGCTACCTACCGGTAAAAAGGTTAAAGACAATTAATTCAAGCTTTTGTTTGCTGTTAAATCAATTGTTACAAAGGTACATTTTTAACATTTATTACATACTGCAGAACATGAGTAATTTATTACCTACCGTGAATAACTCAAGGTTCAACTAATCAAAGGAAGCCTGGAAGCACAGTTCCTGAATCAAGTTGCGTCAATCATTTTTCGAAATTAATTTTCAACAAGTAACTCAACTCACCTGGTAATACAAGAGGTCTAATTGTATTACCCAAGGCGTTCCATTGTCAATTTTCTGATTTGCGGTGTCATTTCACAACAAGAAATCCAACTGACACTGACACCACATAAGGAATAAACAACACTCCGATTAACTCTTTCGTATACCTCCCCTTTCTTTAATCCAACATGAACATTCACTTTTATCAAAACGACTTTTAACACTCTTTAACTTTCCTCCACAAAACTTTACAATTAAACAAGACTGACTGTCTTTTCAAAAAGCTTCAATACCGGAAAAAGTGACAAATATACACAAGACAATAAGCCGCTACGTTTCAACATCCACCAAGAAAAAAACAAGTTAAAAAGTCATTATGCAAACATAAATGACGAGAGCATATATTCGTAGTGTTTACATATAAAGTTTCATTTAAATATATTCATAAATAAAAATGTTAAAATTGCACATGCGTTAAACCAAATTTTTGACACTGCGCATGCGCAAAACCAAAAAATATCGGTATGCACAGAATCCTTTTAACAAGTCCTTTCAAATCAGCCCCATATGGCTCAAATCGGTTCAGTCGTGTAGAAGGTGTACGAACAGACGGACGGACGACAATGTGCAGCCAATAGCGGTTTTTGACTTTGAGGAAACAACGATTCATTTCCACAGTCAAAAAAGCATCCTTGGTGTTGTGTCGGCGGAACAAGCGTACGGCCTTACTCCTGGTCAAGGTCGGCGGTAGCAGCGTTTGGCTTTTCGGTCTAGAAAGCCTCGAGGGGAGTAAACAGCAGCTCCTGGACTTCTAAAGGGCAAGTGTGGGTCGGCTACGGGTGAATGCTAAAACAAAATAAAAGCGCATAGGAACAGTCAATAATCGGATTCAATAGCGGTATCTACGGGAAAGCAAATGCATGAAAGCGAGGTAGTACCCCCCCTCCCTTCTTCCTTCCATATAATTAGTGAAACGGAAAGTAACAAAACGCTTACCTTGCAATTAAATGGAGCGGTAGAAATTAATGTGCAAGAAGAAGCAAAAGCTATAGCTTTAATTAATTGTGCTGCCTGCTGACGTCCTAAAAATCTGCAATTGGTCCCAAAACTCGAATCTATTAAGAGCGCTTCTTTTGATACTCGATATGACTTTTACTGCAACACTACTGTCAATTTCACTTACTTAATTGGCCGAATGGAAATTTCTAAATTTACCATAACGTAGCTGAAATTCTAAAATATTAATTTGCCCTCTACTAAATGACTAGAGCTTTCGGACGCAACAAAAACAATTGAAATATCTTGACGGAAACGGTTGCAAACTGCGAAATAATTATTGCAGCGTTATTTACGATATCGGTATCCCTAGAAATACTTCCGCTACGACACTTCGTAACGAAGCGCCCAATTTAAAACGCTTCTAGATACTAGGTGTTCAGCATAGCTGGTCGACCCCACAAATGTACGGTGTGGTCATAACTTCGGGTATGAAACTTCAACGGAAAATAGGTGCTTCATTACAACCAGTTTCTTAAGCTTCTGCACTAAATGTGTCACCTCACTAGAAGCTTAAGGGTGCTACATTTATACTATTTTTTTAAAGTAATTGGTTCGAGGATGCCTCGAAAACGCACATGAAGCATGAATGAATCTTTATTTTACAGAAATCGAACTATCACCCATTCCGAGGATGTATAAGAGGCCTTACGATAAACAAAATTCCTCACGGTTTAATCAAAGACAAAAGCACCGTCCATCACAACATAGGTCAATGTTTTCCCAACATAGAGCAAGGCTCTTACTTCGGCGGGGACGCCTTTGCGATATACAGTAAGTGTCTACCTATTCCATAGGATTTCTCACTTTCTCTTCCAGACAAATACTTCCACATCAATGCGGTTTTGGAACTCAGTTTAGAGTTCCGGACGGCCGAACAAAACGGAATTATCATAAGCGTGTCGAATCCGCGCAACAGTCCGGCGCTCTCGATCGAGTTACAGAGCGGGGCAATTGTAATGACGACGGACAATGGTTACGGCACCATCACGAACGTGACAAATAACCTGTCCGATTTCGCACTGTGCAATAATCAATGGCATAATATCACCGCCGTCTACACGAGTTCGGAGATAACTATCAACGTTGACGGAATACGAAAGAGTTGGGTGCAACCCGATGATGAAACGCTGATGGACGAACTGGAAGCGCCACTTTACATAGGTGGAATACCTGGTAAAATTCCAGAGGTACATTTATTTTCAATTACCTGTTAACAACTTACAGATTACGCACCTGTTGGAACGCTAAAGATGAAGGAGAACTTCAAGGGTTGCATACGAAACATGAAGATAGGAAAGAAAACAGTCGACTGGTTAAACATGGAACAAGTTACAAACGTTTTGCTAGACTCTTGTCCGATGACCTCATAAACTTAAAAAAGTATTATGAACAGCACTGCCATTTTTTTTTGTACATAGAAATGTAAATAATTACATAATCACAATTGCCATATTAATTTATAATACAATAGCCATAAAATGACTGATTAATTTACGTTAAAATTATATTTTTGCTACATTCCAAGCAATCGCGGATGTGGGATTTTGTCACCGAAATAGTAATTTGTAAAATTATTCCAAAGTCAAGTTTCTGCCATAAAGTCTTCTAAGTTTAAGTAATTTATTATAATTAATGAATGTACAACATTGTAAATAAAATAAAATAGTGCACATTTTCCTGATTGGCACAGTGTCCAAAGCGAGATGCTCAATTGTTAATGATAAAATTGAATTGTTTTCCATTTAAAGAAATATGATTAATAGGAGGATTAATTTTTTTAATTCTAGGATTCAATTATTACACCTTGCAGCTGTCAACTTTTGCTTGGGATTGATTGTTGTCGGTGACCGGAATTAAGGTGGTTTCTGATCTTCAGCTTTCACATTTTCAGTGATGACCTGATTGTGTTGCATATACTATTAATTGGTGCTGCGTGCAAAATCTCTTTCATTCCTTTCACCAAATCCAAAAGGCCCAACCACAATGCCCTTTCTCTTCTCCCACTACCGCATTCCGAGTCTCCTATTATAATTAAATTGTCTTCTCATCCAAATTGGAGTTTCAGATGTGGAGAAGCTAGAGCCACAGATAACTACAATTGTGTTAGCGCTGAAAGCCACGATGAATTAGCTTTGGGTTGGGTGTAGGCTAGTAGCCTCTCCTTAGTAAGAGAATCTGGAATGTTTTCCAAGAAGATTTTTTGGGTGAAAACTTGTAATAGAGAACTCCAGATTGATTGTACTCCACGTCTATCAGTTGGGAGTGGGTGACGAACAGTACCCTCACTAGATGTTCAATTCATATCCATTAATTCCTGACGGCCGGTACCCTATGATAGCGCGGTGAAGGAAAAAGATCTCAGAATTTCCAACACCTTCGACAATACGGGGAGTATGTTGATGGGGCTCAAGTCATTTATATTTTGAGGGTTGTTATTTTTTGGAATAGGAACCACATTAGCCACTTTCCAAATATCAGGTACCGTGTTAGATCTAAGACATACGTTAATGATGTACGTGATGTAAGTAATGATAAGCGGACAACATAACAGTAGCATATCAAGACTTATGCCATCTTCGCCAACGGCTTTTGACTTAATATTATAAAGTATATTCATGACGTCAATGTTTGAAACTTGTTAAAATTGTAACGTGTCACGAAACTCACACATAACGTTATTTGTGTAAAAGTGTACTAAGTCATTGTTTATAGAATAATTATGCTTGTAAATAAACGCTTCATTTAAATTATTCGCTTATGGTTCAGATGAAAAGGAATTTCTACATTGCGCGATTTTGAGTATATATCCAACCGTTTATAAGTTCCTTCCATAGATTAGACAATTTACTAGTCCTGATGTGGTAAGCTAAATAGGCTTTTTCTTATAACATTCCTTTTTTCCAAAAATCGACTGCACCAAAATTTCTCGGGAAAACACTTTTTCTTATTAATTTTGGTGCGTAGAATCCAAAACAATTCGTACTTTTTCGATCAGACTCCTCAATCAAAAGTTATAGACTAGAAACCAATTTCGAAAGAAAATTCAAAGGGCTGTAACTTTTGAACTAGTAGCCTAATCTTGGAACTGTTTGAAATTATGGATTCTACAGGCCACGTTCTATAAGAAAAATTTTTTTCCGGGCCGATCTGAGACAATGTTTTTTTCGGGGCAGAAAAGGCAGTGTATAACCTTCCTTTTTTCCAAAAATCGACTGCACAAAAATTTCTCGGGAAAACACTTTTTCTTATTAATTTTGGTGCGTAGAATCCAAAACAATTCGTACTTTTTCGATCAGACTTCTCAATCAAAAGTTATAGACTAAACCAATTTCGAAAGAAAATTCAAAGGGCTGTAACTTTTGAACTAGTAGCCCAATCTTGGAATGGAACATTTTAATTTAGAGAAGTTATATAGGTTTCGTAACTTCTTGTATTAAAGCTCTTACAGAAAATATGTTGGTATTAAATATCATATACCTAACATATCATATAAAAAATCATGTGAGATATATTATAGTGTAAAGGTACCTTAAAAGAGGTTGGTCACAAGTGCAACAAAATATTTCCTCTCCCACCATAGAAAGCGCAAGAAAAATGTGGGGTAAGAAAAGCTTCTTGTAAAAAGTTAACAACAAAAATGGATATGTATCTAATAATATGTAAAACATTGTGGAGTAAATTTTTGTTGGGCAAGTAAAAGCATTGTATATTTATTAGGTAACAGTTGATGAAAGTATTTTCGTACTTCCGAGACTAAAGTGACAACTTCACTCCATTATGACAAGGACTGAAGTGTCACTTTTTGTCCCGCCGGGATTAAATTTGGACGAAAATCCCGGAAGGATGAAATTACTAACAAGGCAATTTCAGTAGGTTGTTCCACTTTTTGTATGCGGCACTACTTCTTAAACGCATCGTACTGCTGTTCATATAGTTTTTGGATTTCGGTGGTATCAATTCTTTACCTACTTTGGTTGCTTTTTATCAATATCAAATACACCACCAAAATTATGACACTAGCAATGACAGTTCCTATGGTAACTTGTTGGGCAGCGATTTTTTGAAAGAACGCGTTCTCTAACTCCATACATATTAAGTGTTTCAGTTTCGGAAGTACGAAAAATATCGTATGTACCTTGCGACTGAAGTAGTGGTCTTAATCCCTCAGGTAAATTTTTACCTTCGGGATTAAAAGTACTACTTCAGTCCCGCGGTATATAATATACTATTATTATAAATTCATAAAATGGTTTCACAATTTTAGCTTGAAGAATGAATGTGTATTAAACAAAAAATATATTCATCATCTCCAAACGCGCCGAATTTTTAAAATTTAAATTTTAGTGACAATGAACCGTAGGTAGTTCAAATGTATTATGTCACGTAGTTCAAATGTATTATGTCACCAAATTAGAAATTGGTACTCCTGAAAATGTCAATACATGGAAAATGACAACAAAACAATAATAATATAATTTTAAATAATCACATAATTACACTTGCTACTAATAGATATATAAGTACATAGTTTCAGTATTTCTTAGGGCTGGTATACAATGGCAAAAGCTTCCGAGAACGACCTTTATGGCACTTCATTTTCCATCGAATCTATGAAAGTGATTGCCGAGAGTATAGGCATAGCAAATCTGCCCGACGATGCCGCAAAGGAGCTGGCGGATGATATCTCGTTTCGTTTGAAGCATTTCATTCAGGACTCCGCCAAGTTTATGCACCACGCTCGTCGAAATAAGCTAATGTATCACGACATTGACGCCACACTTCGTTCGAGAAACATTGAGGTAAAAGACCTACTTTGAGCTTGTGGTTCCTAACATTGCATTTGTAGCCTCAATATGGGTTCCACTCTGTCGACTCGTTACCGTTCAGGTTTGCGTCGGGCGGCGGTCGCGAGTTACACTTCATCGAGGAGAAGGAGGTCGACTTGCACGATTTCGTCACAAACACAAACGTCAAAGCGCCGCTCGACATCACGCTGAGATCGCACTGGCTGTGCATCGACGGTATACAGCCGGCGATTCCCGAGAATCCCCCTCCTCAGGATAAGGAAATTCAAAAGGTTTCCGTGCAATATACCGAAACGTGTCATTATCGTAACGTTTTTACAGCTCGAGTCCGTCGATCCCGTCAACAAAATGAATAAACCCAACAAGGAGTCGTCGGGCAAGCCTAGCACCGGCAAGCAGAAGTTGCGCAACGTCGAAACGGTGCAGATAAAGCAGTTGGCCACGCACGAGTTGTCTGTCGAGCAGCAGCTTTATTATAAGGAAATTACGGAGGCGTGTGTCGGGTCGGATGAAACGCGCCGAATTGTAAGTGTCTGGTGGTGGTGACTGGGTTGTTGAAATATGTACAGGGTGGACCAAAGTAAAACGCTTCTGCATTCAAATTTTGCTGACATAAATAGAGAAGCTGTGTGACCCCTAGGGGGCGTTTCTCAGATTAGTCACTTTGTGATTCAGGGCAGCTAAGGTATTTTGAAGGGTTTTTTTGTTAATAATAATAATTTAATTGTTCGATCGTCATCACAATCATCGATACGTCGTAAGTGTTGCATTTGATTCCCCATGTGTCGGGAACATTTTGAGAAATTCAAGATGGCGGCTTCGTTCGCGATTCAGATGAACAGTAGTGACCTCTGGTGGCAGCACATTGCAATTAATACAGTTGTATTGTAGTTTTTAGGGCTGTAAAAGAAAATGCACTTGCAAAATTGAATGTAATTACACTGTAAAGAGGCAAGGATAGTTTAAAAAGTCACAGTACTGTCAAAAATTTTAAATGTGACCAGTGTAATTATGCAACCAACTAATTTAACAAATCGTCCAATGCATAACATTTCCCGAGACATTTCCAAAGTCTTTAATTGTGAACACTGCAATTACACAACAACAAATAGGAGATATATACGTCATTCCTTGACACACTCCACTTTGAATAACATCAGCTGCTATCAGTGTAATTACGCTACAACTTAATAGTTTGATTCGTGATCAGTGTAATATGCCACATTATGATCTTTATTCAAAATTAGATCATTTAAGTTAATTACATGTTCAAGCTACTTCAAGACAGCCTCAAGTTCCTAAGAAAAAGACCTTTTAAGATAGGATTAGGGAGTTATATTTTCAAGTCTCAAAAACGGCATGGTAAGTTTAATTCACGTTCAAATTTAAATTAGTACAACCATATGCTTACAAACCACTCCCACCTATAACTCGCCATTTGGAAATTACACCAGCGCCTCTAGTGTTATTGTAGGTATAGGATTCGATAACATTTAAAAAAGAAGAAAGATTTAACTATTTTTTCTGTCCCACTCTATTCTTTTATCTCTACCAAAGTAAAATTTTACATCTCCACAATTCACTTCCTCTTGTCCAGCTTAAATACAATTTAAACATTTTGCAGTATTAAACAAATTTTACATCAAAGACTGCTTTGAGAGACAATCCCATAAACAAAAAATTCCATAATTTTAAAGTCACTAAATATAGAAAGTACCGCAATCCATTGGACTCGTGTGTTAGAGAGAGAACGCATGATTTTTGCCCAAAAATGGCGGATGTTACCAGATTCTAGTAACTTTAATGTTAGGGATTGTTCCACCTGTTTGGAGATATCTGTATATATTTTTATAAAACATGACAGTACTATGTTATACTTAGTTAGGTTATAAAAAATTACAGCTATTCAGATTTTATTTGTCAATTTTTTTAAGTTGGCAGCAAATTTGCCCAAAAATGGCGGATGATTGCGGTACTTTCTATATCTAGTGACTTTACATAATGTAAAGTCACTATAAAGAAAGTACCGCAATCCATGGGCTCGTGTGTTAGAGAGAGAACGCATGATTTTTGCCCAAAAATGGCGGATGTTACCAGATTCTAGTAACTTTAATGTTAGGGATTGTTCCACCTGTTTGGAGATATCTGTACATATTTTTATAAAACATGACAGTACTATGAAGTTAGGTAATAAAAAATTACAGCTATTCAGATTTTATTTTTTAATTTTTTTAAGTTGGCAGCAAATTTGCCCAAAAATGGTGGATGATTGCGGTACTTTCTATATCTAGTGACTTTAACATAATGTTTTTTGGATACGCCCTCTGGCGGTCACACGGATTAAGATTGCGCCAGTAACTTTATCACAAAATTTGAGTCAACTCTTTGTGGTATATTGAGAATGTTTAACCATTTATGAAATTAAATGCAATGAAGTATTTAATTGACCATAGACGCTATCGATCTATATAAAAAGTTAGAGGGTGTCCCAAAAAAGTGAGATGTGGATGGTTAGTGCTCCACCAGCGTTTCTTTGGTACCTGCTTGACAGTCCGATGTGTTGATTTTTTGTTTGTTATTCACAATAGTAAATAGTTCCTGAATCTACGAAAAGCTGTGTTAAGGGTTAAATGGAAGAACAGATGGTAGAAGTTTTCAACTACCACTCTGAACTTCGCCCTTTTGAACTTAACTGTGAACATTTCTTCTGTCTTTTTTTTTACTGTACCTGCTTTTCTGTTCACTGTTTTTTTCAATAAACAGATATTATTATTATTTTTTATTTTTTTCTCGACAGGAAGCGTTACAGAGTTTAGCATTAGATCCGGGACTGTACGAAATGCTACCCAGAATGTGTACATTTATAATCGAGGGAGTACGTGTCAACGTCGTGCAGAACAATCTGGCGTTATTAATTTATCTTATGAGAATGGTTAAAGCCCTTCTGGACAATCAGTCGTTGTATTTGGAGAAATACGTATGTCGCTCGTGTCGTGTAATGGACCTTACTGACACCCTTTGATTTTAGCTTCATGAGCTGATTCCGTCCGTCATAACATGCATTGTGTCTAAGCAGCTCTGTACAAGGCCCGAATTTGACAATCACTGGGCCTTGCGCGATTTCGCCTCGCGCCTTAACGCACAAATTTGCAAAAACTTCAACACAAGTACCAACAACATCCAAACGAGAGTGACGCGTATTTTTACAAATTCAGTGCAGCAAGGGGATAAGTTGCCGTTATCGTCGCTGTATGGCGCTTTGCACGGGCTGTCCGAGTTGGGGACCGAAGTAATTAAAACGTTCATTCTACCGCACATTAAGACTATCGGTGCGCGAATCGAAGTACACCTCGAAGGATCGCTCATGTCGAATCTGGACAAGGTCGCTTCCGGGCACATTAAAGCGCTTTTGGTGAAGGTGCTTGCCCCGATTATCAAAAATTTGCGCGCCCCACCCGACTACTTCGAGGAGTACAAGGCGGACTACGGCTACCTGGGGCCCACCCTCCAATCGGCGGTAATGAAGGCGAGAACGCAGCCACCCCAACCGGTCACGCCCACAAACACCTCAATAGCGCCAGTAAGCGCCACCATCTCGCGAAACATAACCGCCCCGATGGGAATCGTGCAGAACACCGTAACTCCCGGTCGCACGATCGTAATGAACCAACCGAACCGCGGCACGCCGACCACCGGCAACCAGAAGTTTGTGTTCGTAACGCAACGCTCGCAAGGAGCGGCGCAGCCGACCGCGCAACCGCAGCAAAACACCGTCGTGAAAATCATGAACTCGCCGAATCCCCAGCCGAAGGTGGTCGGCGCGCCTCAGAAACTGGTGGTGGTGTGCATGCCGAACTCGGGGTCGACCAATTCCACCGTTATAAGTCAAAATACGCAAGTGTCGAGTAGCTTGCAGGGGGGGCAAATTGTAAGTCCCGGGATCAGTCCGATGCAAAGCCAGCCGCAGTTCGCCGTGGTTCCCAAACCGAATTTTATACAGCAGAATCAAAAAGTCAAGCAAGAGGTCTCAATGGATGAGCTCTCTCTTTTAACAAACTTTGTACCGCAGAGTCAAAAGATCAAGCAAGAAGTGGCTATAGATGACCTCTCCCATTTAGCTTAAGAGTGTTTTGTGCATTTACTTAAAATAAATTTTTTATTTTTGAATTGTGCAGCTATATCAATGGTTATTTTTGGTCTTTATTTTTAAGTGGGCGGGGCTTCAGCCAAGACTACTCTACCAAAGCAACCCACTGTACATTTACAAATATCCGTGCTCGAACCAGGGACCCTTCGTACCACAGTTGGGTCATGTATATGTTCATTCTCTATTCCAATTAATCACTTGTTTTATTTTTGAGTGGGCAGGGTTTCAGCTAAGGACTCTCTACTAACCCAACCTACTATACATTTGTAAATATCCACGCTAGGACCTGCGAACAAAGCTTTGAACATAATACATGGGTACTTCTGATGGATCATTTAGAGTCAATTCACTTCTGTGTGATCCCCATGGAACTGAATACGGGGGTACGTCAAAGACTTCTACCTTTGTTGCTCCTGATGAATTTTTTTTTAGGTAATTCACTTCCTGTCAACGATTTTCTGGAGATAGAGGAGTTTGGCCGTTGATTGATCACCACACCTGCCACCTTCCAGTTGTTAAAAAAGGTTATCAGATTTTCATGTGTGATCCCCCCCCCCTATTGAAAATGGAGCTAGCCTATACCACTCTGGAACGAAATGCAGGAGTACGTCAAATACTTCCATCTCTATTGTGTCTCATGAATTTTTTTAGATACCTAAGTCACTGTGATTGTCAACGATTTTCTGGAGATGGAGGCTTGCCACCCCCACATTGGAAATTCTGTTATGGTCCTGTGTTACGCCGAAATAAATACAGCTCTGACAGTGAGTTAATTTATTAACAAAGATCTTAAATCACAATTTATAAAGTGGCATATTACAATAAATTTTTCTTGTTCTAGGGCCTCTTCTCTATCGAAGACAGGTGCAGTACAGAAACCATGGCCATAAAATCTGGAAACCATACAACAGTTAGTTTCAAGTTCAATCAGTTAATTCGCACGCGTACAAGAATTAAAAAGATTCAAAATTTCAAAAAAAATGTTTTTAATCTTTTTTTATTTTTCAAACATTTTAAAAAAATTTAAGAAAGGTATTTTGAATTTTTTGAATATTTTTCACGCTGACTTTCAGACGGATTTTCTCTAGTTTTGTTATGGATTTTGTTTCACAATTAGTTCTTAGACAGAGGCTGTGTAGCGTAATCATCAAAGTGCACACGCGAAATTGTTTATTGTACTTATTCTAAAGAAAAATTATATATTACCTACTTACTGTTATTATTATATATATTGTTAAGTTGTCCTATAATTGGCTTTTGCTATTAGGCAATAAATTTATTATTTATTTATTATTAATTTATAAAGAAGTTCTTATTGTAACCATGATGCGTTGACAAAATAAATACCTTGATCTTTTGTCACCAATTTTGTTTTGTTTCCTATGACCCCCAAACAGCTGCACAAATAAAAATTGCAAGCGAATGAACTTATCAGAGGTTACTATAGTGAAGCGCATCAAGACATCTAGTTAGATTGACTACTAAATTGCAACTATAAGATAATGTGTTCCTCGTTGATGGCTGGATCGTAGGTAATCGAATTCGATGTGGTGAAACGGTGCTCATATCTGCAACAATAAGATTATTCAATAAACGTGTACGCAATGTTTCATTATCCTACCTAAATGGTTTTGGTACTTTCCCGACAGTGTTCGGGTTGATCAGCAAACGAATAGAAGCTTTCTCCAAACACGTTGCTCTGTATGAATTCTTCACATCGGTTTGGATTCCATAAGATTAGGTAGCTACTGCCCGAGACCTTCTGCAATTTAAAATTGAGCAATATCATAGGTAAGTAGGTATATTTTTAATAGGTAAGTATGTATCCTAGAATAGGGGACGAACAGTTTGTATAATGGATCTTGCCTATCAATTAGGTTGACTGGGAAAAGACTTATTCTTATAAACATTATCCCGTACAATCCAAAACTGCTTATAGTATGATGATTATTAGGACATAAGATCAAAAGTTACAGTTGAATTTTCTATCGAAATTGGTTTCTAGTCCTTAACTTTTTTTTGGGAAGTCTGATCGAAAAAGTACGAATCGTTTTGGATTCTACGCACCAAAATTAATTGGAAAAAGTTTTTTCCCGAGAAATTTTGGTGCAGTCGATTTTTGGTAAAAAAGGAAGGTTGTACACTGCCTTTTTTTTTGGGTCGAAAAAAAATTGTCTCAGATCGACCGGAAAAAAATATTTTCTTATAGAATGTGGCCTGTAGAATCCATAATTTCAAACAGTTCCAAGATCGGGCTACTAGATCAAAAGTTACAGCCTTTTGAATTTTTTGTCGAAATTGGTTTTTTGCCCATAACTTTTGATTGAGGCGTCTAATCGAAAAAGTACGAATCGTTTTGGATTCTACGCACCAAAATTAATTGGAAAAAGTTTTTTCCCGAGAAATTTTGGTGCAGTCGATTTTTGGTAAAAAAGGAAGGTTATACACTGCCTTTTTTTTGGTTCGAAGAAAAAAATTGTCTCAGATCGACCGGAAAAAAATATTTCCTTATAAAATGTGACCTGTAGAATCCACAATTTCAAACAGTTCCAAGATCGGGCTACTAGATCAAAAGTTACAGCCCTTTGATTAATTTTTTGTCGAAATTCGTTTTTTGCCCATAACTTTTGATTGAGACGTCTAATCGAAAAAGTACGAACCGTTTTGGATTCTACGCACCAAAATTAATTGGAAAAAGTTTTTTCCCGAGAAATTTTGGTGCAGTCGATTTTTGGTGCAAAAGGAAGGTTATACACTGCCTTTTCTTTGCCCCGAAAAAAAAATTGTCTCAGATCGACCCGGAAAAAAAATTTTCTTATAGAATGTGGCCTGTAGAATCCATAATTTCAAACAGTTCCAAGATTGGGCTACTAGTCAAAAGTTACAGTCCTTTGA